AACGAATCTGCAATCGAAATACTACCATAGCTATTATTACCGCTCCATATGCATGCGCACCTGCACGTACAGCTATACAGTACGGTACCTCCCTCTCCGTGGCCTCAGCACACATCTACAATATCTCGGAGCTTTACCAAGTGCTTCAATTGGAGGGAACTTTGAGATGAGCAAGCAAATGCTTCAAGAAACATAACGAACTCAGGAACACCAACGGACCGACCCAGAGACAGTGAAGTATTCGTCAAAACAATGGGAGAAATTGTCAGTTGCATAGTTGAAAAACTAAACTGTGAACTACGGCTGACTCTGCTCTAATTAGTGATTTTTTTTAGTGCTTCTTTTTAATGTGTTCATTTTTAACCGAATTTTGCTCAAGTATGGCACATTTTACATTTTTGTACATAATCTGACACTTTTGAAGCCAGTCGTTCGAAGGCATTTGCGCATATCCTTAATTCGCGAACAAACACATTGGCTAGCTTCATCAGAATCTGCCAAATATATGTTTAACTGCGTATACTAAGAAAATGTGGCTTCTTTATTATTATGTCCAAAGCTCCTCTTCTACTAAAACATTTCGCAAGGAAATGGACAGGAAATGCTTTAAGTCGTTGTTAAGATCATTCTGCGGGAGCTTTTTTGTCTTGTAACCACAACCGCAGCACTGATGGGTACCTGGTGAATAACGAAAACGGAGATGCAAACTGAACAACTTAGATTTCAGTGCATGCGAGATATTACTATATATGCTAATCCCACCACTCACTGGGGCTTTGCCAACTTTTCGCAGGTAAATTGGCAGTTGTAAGTGCAGGTTCGAAAAGGAAATTTACAAAAAAAGTTGCCTACTCCAGCAAACCACAGCAGGAACCTTCTGAGAGGCAACTGAATACAGCAATCGGATTACTGAACTGCTAATTCCCATCCCTTCCCGCACTACTCAACGGTGTCTGTATTTTCAGCCCTGGAATGAAATTCGGCCAGACCGTTTTCTAAAAAAGTGCAGCTGTGCCTCCCATATTCGCTATCTAAATGTCGTGCCACAATATTTAAAATGACTCAAGCTCATCGTTATTCCCCCTCCCCCTCCCACTACCCCTCCCCCATCCCACCCCTTGTCCCTACCAATTTCCAATCCTGTACTGACCAATTCTGTACTACGGCTATCTTATATGCGCCTGCTTGTACAATGCCATTTGTTATATTGATTCAACTTTGTCTAAATCATTTGAAACAAATCTGTTCGGAATGAAGTTCCTTCGTCCGCTGAAACCTCAGATTTGTGCACCTCCAAGTTCACGAGCTGCTTAATCGGATGCTTCGTAGCAAACAAGCCTTCCCTCATCGTCTATGACAAATATAATAAACAGAATAAAAAAACAAACTTATAATTCGAGCCTCGAAAAGCTCATTGATGCGACCCAGACTGCCTATCAGGATGAACACGTCCTCTTTCTCCAGCGCTTTCTTGCATTCGGGTGTTGACACGTAACTGTCCACCGCAAGCACCGAAATGCGTGGCGCTCCCACCTTCATCAAATTCTCCAGCTGTTGTATGTTAAATTCACGGATTTTAGCAAAAATGCGATCGGCTTCTCCAGTCCCCTCCCTTCCCAATAAGCTGACTGCAGGCAAGCAGCACATAGAAAAATGTTGTGCTTGAAGTGTTATTTTTATGCGTTTTTGCTGTGCAGCGCTATAGCAGCGCCATAGCGCTGCTACAGCCAGCAAAAAC